GATTCTCAGATCTCAACCTCCTGAGTCTCCAGGATTATAGCAATGCGCCACTAGCGCTTGGCTTATGTGCATTTTTAATGCTACTATTTTATTGATGTTACTAATTGCTTATGATAAACCTTTTCTATGTTTTAAAACTTTTTCTCAAAATTTTTTTGCAGTCAACCTTTCCCCCAACTCTGAGTCTCTGTCAGCCTCTAATCTTTGTAAAAGCATATAGAAGATGCTCTTCAGAATCGGATTTGTTTTCTGGGTATATTATATTTGGAAGTCATCTGAAGACAGTTTCAAGAAAAAGTGAAATCATTTATTCCTTTTTAATACCAAGCAGTATTTTATTATGTGGATATTACCCCTTGAAGGATGTTAGCATTGTTTCTACTTTTTTTTAATCTGAAAACACAACTAAAGCTGCTATTGATAGCAGTGTATAGATTTTTGAGTGAACATGTTTTGATTTCTCCTACCTTCCTACCTAGGAGCAGAGTTACTGTTTGAGTTTATGAGGATCTGCCAAGGTGATTGTCCATTTTCCTTCTTACCAAAAAATTCCTGTCACTTTTGCTTCCAGGGCTGAGATGCCTCTGTGAGTTCAGACACAGTGGTAGGCTGATAGTAGTGTCTTCTTGCAGCTGTAATGGTCATGTTGCCAGTTCTAATGGCACCAAGCACCTTTCCACGTGCTTCCTTGTCACTTGTCTGTTTTGCTTGGTGATATCAAATCCTTGTTGTCATTCAGCTGTTTCCTTATTTTGATTTGTGAATGTTCTTTATGTATGTTGAATATAAATCCTTTCTCAGACATATAACTTGCAGAGATTATTTCTCACTCTTTCTTTCTTTTTTTTTGTTAGTCATGAATCTTGAACTCTGGGCCTGGGCGCTGTCCCTCAGCTCTTCAGCTCAAGGCTAGTGCTCTACCACTTCAGCCACAACGCCACTTCTGACTTCTTCTGCTTATGTGGTGCTAAGGAATCGAACCCAGCACCTCATGTATGCAAGGCAAGCGCTCTACCACTGAGCCACCTTGCCAGCCACTCTCACTCTTTTTTTAGCAGAATCTTTCGAAAAAGCAGAAGTTGCAAAGTCTAACACCAATTTTTTCTTCTAAGGATTGTTACTTTCAGTGCTGTATTTAGTAATTCTAAGTAAGCTCAGTTCTCAAAATTTGTCTCCCATTTTTTTTTTCTTCTAGAACAAAATGTGTTTTAAACCTTGGGTAATGGAAGTGCCAATGTCTGGTCTCTTTGGGAAGGCATCCCCTAGAATTTAGTGAACTCTGCCGTCTCCCTGCAGC